TGTCTTCGACAGGTGGTCATTTGTACAGTTGGCTGTCTTGGCTTGGACAAGTGGTCATTTGTACAGTTGACTGTCTTGGCTTGGACAAGTGGTCATTTGTACAGTTGACTGTCTTGGACAAGTGGTCAGTTGTTCAGCTGACTGTTTTGGACAAGTGGTCATTTGTTCAGTTGACTGTCTTTGACAAGTAGTCATTTGAACAGCTGTCTTGGGAAATGGGAAGTAGTCGTTTACAAGTACAGTTGACTGTCTTGGGAAGTGGGAAGTTGTTGTTTGTACAGTTGACTGTCTTGGACAAGTGGTCATTTGTACAATTGACTGTCTTGGACGGGTGGTCATTTGTAGAATTGACTGTCTTGAGAAGTGGGAAGTAGTTGTTGACAATTACAGTTGACTGTCTTGGACAAGTGGTCATTTGTACAGTTGGCTGTCTTGGACAAGTGGTCATTGTACAGTTGACTGTCTTTGACAGGTGGTCATTTGTACAGTTGACTGTCTTGGCTTGGACAAGTGGTCATTTGTACAGTTGACTGTCTTGAGAAGTGGGAAGTAGTCGTTTACAATTACAGTTGACTGTCTTGGACAAGTGGTCATTTGTACAGTTGGCTGTCTTGGACAAATGGTCATTTGTACAGTTGACCGTCTTGGACAGGTGGTCATTTGTACAGTTGACTGTCTTGGTTTGGACAAGTGGTCATTTGTACAGTTGATTGTCTTGGGAAGTGGGAATTAGTCGTTTACAAGTACAGTTGACTGTTTTGGACAAGTGTTCATTTGTACAGTTGACTGTTTTGGACAAGTGTTCATTTGTACAGTTGACAGTCTTTGACAAGTAGTTAAGTAGTTTGAACAGTTGACTGCCTTGGACAAGTGGTCATTTGTACAGTTGATTGTCTTGGGAAGTGGGAAGTAGTCGTTTACAAGTACAGTTGACTGTTTTGGACAAGTGTTCATTTGTACAGTTGACTGTCTTGGGAAGTGGGAAGTTGTCGTTTGTACAGTTGACTGTCTTGGACAAGTGGTCATTTGTACAGTTGATTGTCTTGGACAAGTGGTCATTAGAGCAGGTTCGACTAGTTTCAAACGGTTAAGGGGTGAAATGGAAATCCTGTAATGTAGCGCGGTTAAGCCGTTTGTTTGGACTTTGCATCCCCTTCAGTCCAAGTTGTTTTGTTTTAGTAAGAGTTTTACGGCACTTGCAACACAATATGGTCATGTAAGCTCCGAGGATTAGAGGTGTTACAAGAGAGTAACAAACAAAAAAAAAGACAGTGGGGAGATAATGAGAGTACTAATAGTAGATGTTTGATAGGAAAGAAGAAGCAAACCACACCAGAGCACCCGCCAACCGCCCAGGTTGGCCCTGACAGGCTGGGTCGAAACAGTCCCCCTCCTCTAAATGATGTAGGCCTAAATTGTGTTGATGGGGGCATAAAACATCTTCACATTTATATTTTTAAATCTCTACTTGAGAGTAATTTCAACAATATTCCTAAATATTCCCAGATTCACAGGAAGCATTTGGTACCTACTCCCATTCTGTAGGTGCTCAGATATCGACCTAACAGAAGCATTTTCACCGTCTAGTCTATGTATTCATTCCACCAATGTGAAATGAGGAAAATTTGTGAAAATTGTCGTTTCTAAGGACACATTAATGTCAGGCCAAGACAGGGATTCAAACCAACCCCGTTATGGTTTCAGGTTTGACAGCCTAACCTGACAGTGTAGGACAACCAATGCCACGACACAGATAGATGGATGCCAGAGAGAAATGGAAGCTAGTTTTGTTTTTTGCAGTTTTTGTTTTTGGTTTTTTTTAAGAGTTTTCCTTTTACAGCATTAGCAACACAATAATGTCATATAAGTGCCAAAGACTAGAGGTGTTACATAAGAGTACATGTAACAAAAAAAACAAAAATGAAAGGTAAGGACGATAGATGTTTAATGAGAAAGAAAGAGCAAACTGCACCAGAGCATCCGCCAACTATCCACAAAAAAGCGTGCAATCCAATATTTCCTATTCTCATAATATAAACCTGCGACTGCCCATCAAGCACTTACAAAGAAATTAATTTCCGGGTTTTTCATGATAAATTGTACAATGCCGGCAATATTGCCAGGAACTTTACGTTTAGTTTTAGTAAGAGTTCATGGCACTTGCGTATAAGAGCTGATGATTATAGGTGTTACAAGAGAGTAACTAACACAAAAAGGAGGATTAGCACGAAAGGAAAGAAGAGGCAAACCACACCAGAGCACCCGCCAACCACCCCCTTTCCAGGAAAATCTTCAGACAACACCGAAAGGAAAATGAAAACATCACAGCATTACCAATGCAGTAGCTAATCCAACACATGTTGTTGTTGTTAGCGATTCAGTAGCATCTGAGCGTTAACTCTTCTGCATGATGCCATTCGGTAATAGTTGCATGTTTGTTCTAATTGTTGTCGTGAGGAGTAGAGGCAATTAGATGTGTGGGGTAGCTTGGGAAGAAAACATCCCCTTAAATCAGTTAGTTTTCTACAGAAAAACAGATGATGTTCCACTGTCTCTGAGGGGTAGTCACATAGTGGGCAGGCAGCAGACTGCTTTACTCCAATTCGGTTGAGATGTTGGTTGAGGGGTACATGTTGTGTTCAAAGTTGGAAGATTATGGATTGATCTCCCCTCCTCAACTCATTAATTGGATCTTTGACCAGTGGTTTATTCATGTGGCCATACATCCTCCTTCCTGTCGTACCTGTGGCCCAATCATTCATCCACTCTTCCTTGAGGTTTGACTTGATCATTTGGCAGCAACACATTTTATCCAACACATAAATGACCATAGCAAAAAGGGAAAGGCAAGTATGGACAGGACTGACAGAAAGAAAAGAAACATCAGCAGCCAGTGGGCCCCCCAACCGCCTGTTAAATCTAAAACAAACATCAGAATTTGCTTCTATACTTCTACAACCGAACAAAGACCATAATAAAATGTACAGCAAAAAGAATTTATTAACAGTGGCATTATCAAAATGCTCAGAAACCAAAATTTCTCACAAAATTCTGTTCACACTATTGTATGCAGCATTATACTAAATCCCAGAATATTAAAATGATTTTTCCAAAGCCAAACTTCGGAAAAAGCCTTCCTGCTTCTAATCGTGGACATAAATATTTAAACAAAATAACAACAAGAAGCTTGAACATCATTCAATCAATAATTTTTTAGAAAAACAAGCAACAATGAACTGAAATTGTTACAAAAGCGGAAAAGCCTAGATCTTCATTCTGAAAGAGTCTTCCGGCTGCAAAATACAGCAATATATATATATATATATATATATATATATAAACAAACAAAGTAACAATCAGAAAATGCAACATTATTCAACATTTGCGAAAAACTACATACAGTGGAAACCATATATAACAGGCCCGGTAATAACAGGGATCCGGTAATAACAGGGATATTTTAAATCCCCGATTTTTCCTACTCTTTGTCTCTATTAAAAGTTATCGGCAATAACAGGGCCTCATCGGAGCCCAACCGGTTATAGCAGGGACAAAGGTTTGTTAACAATGTGTAAAAAGTAAGAGAGAGAGAGAAACGCAGTGATGGAGCAAGCCCATGCAAGCCATGCCACTGCAAGCACACGCAGCGTGTGAAGCGAGAGAGGGCTGCGGTGTGCTGCAGACCTCGATCTAGCCCGAAACCTAGCTACACGCACGCATAATGTGTCTACTGTCACCAACGATGTCAAGCGCAAGAGAAAATGCCTTTCAATTGACCAAAAAAAAAAAAACGAAATAATCCAGGCTGTTGACAAAAAGTTGAAAAAGCAAGCTCCAGTGGCAGAGATTTGTCGTCAGTTCGCCATTCCACAAGGGTCAATTCACACCATTACCACGGATAGAGAGAAGGTAACGGCAGCATACTCCAAAGGAAAGTTTGCTCTGGATCGAAAGAGGCAAGGAGAAAGTTGGTGCCAAAACCCCTGTTCGTGGGTACTTGTGGCAAGGGCAACTACCCATGAATAAGTACAGCTGGATTAGTCCACAAATGCTTATTTTCCTTGCATTTCTGATTTAACAGGGATCGGATATAACAGGACATTTTCTCTACTCCCACCATCCCTGTTATATCAGGTTTCCACTGTATAAAGTAGTTGGAACAAGAAGAAAAAAAAGCCTACATTCTGAAAAGCCCTCCTACTGCAAATTATACAGACAAACAACATAACCTAATTGAAACAGAATATATTGAATTGAGACAGCATGGTGAAATCAGGCGCTCATCAAAACAACGAAAGTGAAGGAATTGTCATTTTCCCCTCAGGTTTGGGAATTTTTATAGAATATTTTTTTTGGACACGACACCTCCATTAAAGAACACATTTTCTGTGTGGATTTTACTGAAAAACGCTGATTAAAGGCACAAAAAATGTAAATTTTCAGTTTCCCCAGACTCTCAAGCTAAGAAAATAAAACTAAACTTTGGCAGCCATTTTCTCACAAATTTTACCTCTGAAACCAGGCGACCCTCCCTTCCTTCAATCACCAAATCTAAACTTGTATCCAAGATGAATGGATATTTTTTCATCAAAAGCAGGTAAATGAACAAGCTTTAAGACAATACCAATAACCTCACATGCCCAAAAACTGATAGGCACCCGATTCCACCGTGTCCAGACACAATTGTTGCATCTTGATCTTAAAGATCAAAAATACTGACAACATTTTTTTGTGCAACATCTTTCATTATCAACTCCAAAAATATTCTTAAAGAAAAAGGCCCAGAAGTGTTCTATGACAAATTTTGCAACTAAAAACCAAAAAAAATTCACTGGTTGCAGCTCACAGAGAGGTAAGGACATTACTTTTTTTTTTTTTACTTTTGGTTATTGTTGTTTTTGCCATACGGCTCTTCAGAATTGCATTTGCAGCAGATTAGAACAGAATTTTCAATTGTAAGCTAAAACTGTCTAAAAATAACAAAGCAAAATAAGACTGAGACTTAAAATTATATTATGCATGGCATGTATTGTGATGACACATTGGTTTTTGTGCCATAAGGAGGGGAGATAGTACATCCTGTCTTTAAGAGAATACTGATTGTTAAATAGATAGGAGTGTTAGTATTCACTAATAGCTTATGTCAATAAATCCCCCCTTCCCTCCCCTATAAAAAAAGTGATTAAAATGATATGATTACGGCTCACTTACATCTATGAGTAGAAAACGCACTATGAAACCTAGCATATGTCCACGTCACCATAAGTTATAAGACCACACTGAATTATATAATATAGGCAAAAAGAGAAACTACCAGTCGCTAACAACTGAATCTTAATGGATCATTTCCATCATGGAATCTAGGAGATAACGAATTTTTATCAACTCTTACTCTTAGGCACAATATTCAAAAACAGAATATTTACAATTGTTTTGCACAAAAAGAACATTGATTTGATACAGTTTCAACACCCTCAACCAATGAAATATTGACCTTTTTCCCTCAAAGTCCCATATCACATAATTATCTTTGTATTTCTCTGTGGAACATTGTTATTGTCTGTTGAGAGCAGAAAGAGGTATTCAATGAATTCAGAACAAGAGATGTGGAAATTATAATCACTTCTTGCACTCAATCTACAATCTGAGGATGAAACAGACTTGCTAATGCTAACAAATCATGATCAAAAATACCAGTTTTTCTCAGAATCCATCCAAAAATTAGAAGTTTGGGAGAAAAAAAATCAATCTCCAGAACCCAGTCACTGTCATAAGCTGACAAAACACCTTTTTCCATTTTGGCGCCAACATTTTTTATTTGCTAAATCAAATGCTTGATCAGTTACTGAGTTACCCCATTTGTGTGAAAAAAATCAAAAAGAAACTGGGACTACTTTTGGAACAAGAATTCAAATGTCAAAATCACTCTATTTTTAAATGATTACACTAACAAAAGGCTGAAAGGCTTTAACCGACTGGTTAACTTGAGAAATATGATCGGTCCATTCATTGGAGGGACCAACAATAACAACAGAAAAATGGATTATGATGGCTCCTACACAGCACCAGGAGCCGATATATAATCTACTCTAGACATTGGGCGAGGACAGATTTGCGTAACCATCTTAAAAAGGTTTCTGGGCGGTTAGTTGATAAAATATAGAGGCCGCAGCTGAACAGATTATTGTTTCACGCAGTACCATTACACAGAAAAAAGGTAAGAGGGGAAATAGAAAGTGGTTGTTTGTAGCAGTCTATGTCGTGACTGGTTCGACTGTATTTTCATGTAATTATTTAGCCATTTAGATCCTGGAGATTTGTCCAGACGCATGCCCCGAAATCCTGGAAAAGGGAGATAATCTTCTAAAAATATCATACGTATATTTCAAAATAATTGACCTTTTAGAAATTTCTTTACAAAATGATCAGTGTATTCAACATGGTTTACGATAAGGTGCGAACAACTGATGGAAGCAACAGAATTCAAGGAAAAAAATAGGATTTTATGGAAATCTGGTTGGTGTTCATCAATGTGCATAAAAATGTTGTAAAAAATCAGAGTACTTGGCAAGTCTGAAGCAATGACAAATGTTTCCTCTGTCCTTTTGGTACTACAATATCACAGAAGTCCCACACAGGCCACAGCAGATGGCTATAACACACAAGGCCATCACAATCTCCTAGATAGAGCCTTGTGCCTTAGACTATTTATCAGCAGGTTTAGATTCATCTGTTCCTTCTTGATCATCTGAAAGGAGAAAAGCAAATTTCATAACAACACCGTACGATAAAAATAAATATATAAAATTGATAATACAGCAAAAACTTTTATTGGTACAAAATTTCTTTTCACGCTAGTCTTTGTACAACCTAATTCCTTGATAGTCATGGGGGGGGGGGGGGGAGTAAAGAAAGAAGGAAAAAGGAAGAAAGGCCTTGGCAATGTAACAAATATATCACTAATCTATATCCCACTTTAGAAGTTGTTCTATGTTATTTCACCATGATAATATAAAAGAAAAGTTGTTCCCACATCCGATCCGGACATTGGGGATTGCCTTGTTAGTGAGACAACTTCCAGGGCCTTCGGCATATTGTGGTAGGGTGGCCAGTTCCTTTCCACGTCATCTTTACTTCCCCAGCTCGAAGTCAGGTACCCATTACTGCTAGGTGAGCAGGAGGGGGCGAAAAAAATCCAAGTCCGAACCAAGGCTCAAACCCAGACTTTCTGCTTCAGAGACGAGCTCCGCAACCGCGCCCTCTATGATAATATAATTTTTTTTTTTAAATCTATATCAGGTTATATGTTCTTGTATGTTACTACATCATGAATATAACAAAAATACCACAAATCTATATACAGTGGAGTCCACTTAAATGGAAATCTGCAGGACTGTCAGATTTTCTTCAGTTTAGCCATGTTTTTTGGTTTTGAAAGGGTTGCTCAAATACTAATAGCGATGATGGTCGACAGCCAAGCGTTGAGAAAACCATGTGTGAGGCAAATTTCACTTTTTGAAATTTTTGTCTCCTCTTCCTCTTTTAGTAACTGAAATTTGAGCTTGTAGTGACATTGCAAGTGGCTGGTGTGCACCACAAGCAGGTTTTATTTCTTTTCTCCCCCTCGTTGTTTCAGCCTGTCTATCTTACTTTTCCTTGCGTTAACACTTTTCCTACTCGCGTGTGGCTCGCGGACGTAGCCTTGCAGGACCAAGAGCCACCAAATACGGCTCCAGTGGCTCACTATCTATTCCAATCCAGTAATGAAAAGACACAAAATTCTCGGCCGATCCAAGTTTTCAAAAAAATAGAATAGACTTCCTGTTAGCCCTGAGAGACCATTTTTAGTCATTTCAGCGCTTTTTTTTGTCCCCTTTGAAGAGCAAAAATGAGAAGAAAAGTGCTCCCCTGACTTCAGTATATGTTTCATATTTCCACTTCCATGTTTGGCACACATACTTAACAATCAGCATTTCTTTGCGTTACACTGTGGCAACCTACCTGGGAAGTTTGAATGATGCTGTTGTTGTACTTTTTTAGATATGACCTTTCAAAGCTGGAAAATTGTTGATTTTATGTGACACCTCCGATATTGCATAATCACTTTTAGAAACCCCAAACTAATATGATTGGAATAAATCTTCAATATTGTATCACCATTTGATAGATTATTTTTTAACCTTCAGTTTGATGGGCCATATGATATGGTTTGTGTGTGCTTAGTTGGAAGTTTTGACATTTTCCTTTGGTGGGGTAGGGGGGTAAAAATAGGTCAGGGAAAAGCCCTGGCCCAGTGGTGGATTTTGGCCTGGTAGGAAAAGAGTTAAGTGACTGTTACAGGCTTGCCAACTTTGAAAAAAAAAATCAGGGACAAACCAACGTTATACCATCCAACTGTGCAACAATGAACAAAATTACATCAAACGCTACTGGCTTTGATATATTGTATGTAATAAACTCTAAAGTAATGATTGACTAATCCAGGACAGTACAGTAGAACACGTCTATAGCGGGACTTTTGGTTCCAGAAGAAAAATCCCGCTGTTGAAAAGTTCCCGCTATATGAATTCAAAAAGGAATTACCGAAAAAAGGTCTAAAAATCCACATGATTACCCCCCTTCCATATCAATAAATATTGCGCTTTAGAGTAGTCTTCTTTTTCTTGTCAACTTCGTTGGTTATCTCGGCCTGTAATTCGAGTGAAAAGCAATTCCTTTTGTAGTTGGTGGAAGCCATCTTTCCCTTGGTCTTGTTGCTTGGGCAGTCTATCGTACCAGTAGGCCTACTGCAGAACTGGAGAAGTGAATGCAAGCATATATGCCTGAGCATCAACGACCACAATTCAGTTAATCTTAAATCACACACTACACGCTCTTCTCTTCTTTCACTTATTGGCCTAGCCTAGGCCTAGGGCTATGGCCTATACGCTCTCATAATGAGCGTCTAGGCTATGGCACATCACTACTAGAGTGGCTCACGTAACACGTCTCTCTGCACGATCTCCCTCTGCCGCCTGCCCCACCTCGTTCATCACTGGACTGGCTAATCACAACACCCAACCGCTGACTGCCTGTTTGGAGCCTGCCTACAACTCCCCAAGCCCCTTCCCCCCATCTAGAGCTCGCTCGATCATTTTTACTGTATCGAAATTCGGGCCTTTCCTTGCCCTGTTAAACCCAAGCACAGGTAATTGAGTTTACATAGAAAAAAGGGGGGCTTCCAGTAAGGTCCCGCAGCAGCGGGTGCCACTATAGTCATGTTCTACTGTACCGGGAAATTTGGGACAGTTGTCAAGCTTGCAGTTGTGAAGTGGAAGTGCTTCTCTTTTCAAAGCCTTAGAATAAGACAAACAGTGACACTGACAAACCAAAACAATAACCTATGACATCACATCACAACACTATCAAGTCACCTGGTTTGTGGGGGTCGTTTTCTGATTCTTGGGGTCTCTCTTGTGTGTTTTGAGCCCTTCCCTGCATATTCTGAGAGTCCTTTTTTGATTCTTGAGGGCTCACCTGTGTGTTCTGAGGACTTTCCTGCATATCCTGAGGGTCATTTTCTGATTCCTGGGGGCCCTCCTGTGCGTTTTTAGGGCTTCCCTGAATATCCTGAGGGTCGTTCTCTGATTCTTGGGGGCTCTCCTGTTTGTTCTGAGGACTTTCCTGCATATCCAGAAGATTCTCATCCGATTCTACAGGTCTCCTCCCTCTGTCCTGGGGGTTCTCATCAGATTCTACAGGTTTCCGCTCTGTGTCCTGGGGGGTCTCCTGTTTGTCTGAGTGGTCCACTGGGAAGAACATCTGCATTTGCTCACGGTAGATCTCAACATCCTTTTTCAGGAACAGGCACATGATCACCCGATCAACCTGCCAAAGAACAAGCATAACAATTTCAGTGAGAGCTTGACAAGATGTGTAATTGCAAGGTCGAAAAGACTGTACTTACCTCCTGAGTTGTGTACAAACACAAAAATACTTTGGCTTTCATGTGGCACTGAGTCGTCTGTGCTGGCAGGCTCAAATCAAGTCGGTGGGCCCTCTGAGGTCACTTCGCCGGCAGCTACGATCCGTCAGCCACTCATATCTCAACTACTGAGAGGAAGGGAATGTAGAGAGTTCCCACCTTGCCTTTATAGTAAATTCTTTAGCGCACCCTAGTGACATGGGGCGGCAACTCTGTTCGGCCCGCTCAGCGCCCCTAGTGCCATGGGCCCGAACTCTATCTCACAGTTTGATAACGCTAATAACAGGATGCTCTCCATATATTATTCTAACCCGGGTTTTCCGTTTCCGCCCTCTCTGTTTTCATTCTGTTTAGGTTATGAAAGTCTTATCACAGAAACTATGGGATGTTGGGATTCAACACTGATCATCTGCTATAGATCTAGATTCTCAAAAAAATCCTTGAAAAATATGTCTCGCCCCCAAACCTTTTTCAGTCTTTCAACACAATCCCTAACAAAGCCTCAAGGCCAAGTGCACAGCTTACACCCGTTCAAATGGACATTCAACAGAAATCACAAAGACATCTTCATCTGAAATTTCCTCCTCACTGGTTTCAGATAAATCGTCCTCTTAATCACTCATTTTGCAGTAATTTTGGGTGAAAATGAAAGAATAACACTACAATGCAATGGCCGCCATAGTTGTCGAATCCCGCAAAACCTGGCCATTTTGCAATTCCAAACAACTTGGCCAACTAAAAGAGGTATTGAGCAGCCGAATTCGTCCACCTCGCGGTCAAGTGATTGAGGGTATTTTGTAATCATTACACTCTCTTATTTCACAAATTTCTATCATCCTTTTACATGTATTTACTCCCGGCCTACCTGTTCTCAACACCCAACTGAGAATAAAATCCACTGTATTTTCAGACAGGTGAGAGTAACAATATAATTATTCTCACTCGGGGTGAGAATAAAATGAATACTATTCTCACTCTGGGTGAGAATAACAACAGCCTTTTTTAAATCCTTTTGTGTTCGAAAAACAGAGAAGTTGACAAACATAATAAAGACAATTTACAGTTATGAGAACACAGGACCAGAAAGACAGATATTTCTTCACAATGCAGAAAGACGCCCCGTCTGCTGGGACATTTCAGTGACCCATTTTCAGCACTTTTCAAGGACCCCCAGGCAAGTGTTGAGTTCCTGCGTGCTGTCAGCATCGCTGACAGTTTATGACGCCACAGCGCCAGAAAAAAGAGAGAGAGAGAGAGAGAGAATGCAGAAAAACAAAAAGATACAGCCCACCAAAAGTAACCACCAACCATCAGCTTTAAGATCCAAGGAACAAAAATATTATTTCATCATACCAAATTGGACAACCACTACTTAAAAGTGGAAGTCAATGAAAGAATGAACAGGTATCTAAATCTAAACCAATCACCCACAGACATAAAAACAAACACAGGGCAAAAAGAAACAGACAAAAAAAACCCCAAAAAACAACCCCCTCCCCATCCCTAAACTCTGGTTCCAGTATACTTACATCTTTCCCATATTCATCTGTTTCAAGAAATTCTCGTATGGTTTCCAAAGCCACTTTTGCTGCTTTTTCATTAGGGTATCCTGTTGATATACATTTATAAAATCCTTACAATACTTGGAATACACAAACAGCAAAAGAGTGCTACCAAAGCATGGCAAAGTCACAATGTCTTGTTTAGGACAGATGTCTGCAGACACATTATTTTTTTAAAAGACCAGTTTACTTATCTAAGAAATTCAAAGACAATACTTTACAAAATTTCAACGGTCACTTTTCACAACCACAGATACACTTCTCTACCCACCACCGCGGTTCACCACCATAAATAGACACATAATTCAGCTAAATAATCTAAGTTGCCTTGAAAAAAATAAACAAGCCTTACAGCTCACATTTACATTTTGGACTAAAACAATCACAGTACAAGATGGTACACAGAGCACCCCTGTTCACAGCAAACTTGATAGAAAAATCTCAAAGTGAAAGAATTGGTGACTTACCAAAAATACCAGTGGAAATGCAGGGGAAAGCCTGAAATACACAATCACGGCTGACTTTAACAAAATGGCAATGTGGCATTAAAATGAGAGGCTTGGCATTAACCCCTTTGTTGCCTTATGACATACTTGGTACATTAGGAAAATGCGTAATTTTTTGCGCTGTGCCGGAAGTTGGCAAAATTAACCGCTCCTGGTAGCCTATATGACGTTACATGTACGTCACGCTAATAAACCTGGCTCTAATGCTTCTGAACGGAGTTTTAGCCACAAGCCCTGCGTAGATTCTTATTCAGGAATGAAAGACGCACGTATCAGCACCAAATTAGCTAGTATTACTTAAGAGCTTGCAAGCCATCAATAAACACAGATCTAGGCTTGCGGGCGACGGCGTGCTCTCGTAAAACGTTAACATCGAAATCAGTTTAAAAAGTCAAATCAAATCTCTTTTTGACTTAGATTTGCAGGTTATTCAAAATTATCAGTAAGATGGGAGGAAATGTGGAACAAAAAAAGTGAGAAAGTGACAATCGAAGACCCGGTGTCCTAAATATGCCACGAGTGCGCTAGTTACAAAGCTGCTGTCCTGAGAAACGAGTTCAGCTGACAGTAGGAACGCATACCCCCTGGCAACAAAAGGGTTAAAAGTGCTAGAACAACCATTAGTATGTCAGTCTCACAACACATTTCTCTCAGTACCGGCATAACTACAAAGATTTCCATAATGGTAACTCCAAAATCGTCAGACGTACTTTCATAAGTTGAAATCTGCAGTTGAAGCTCCTCTTTCTTGTCTCCATCTAAGAGACTTACTTGGAACTTCCTTCTTTTGGTTCCTTATGTACGTTATCAAAATCAATGCCGAAGAAAATCAATACAGTGGAACTTAGATTCAATGAAGTCATCAGGTCTGACTTTCAGTTTCGTTGAATCCGAGTGTTTGTTATAGCAAACATGAGGCTTTAGCGTAGATAATTACTGGCACGAAGCAAGTAGTATATAAAAAGGGAAGTAACAAGTGGTAGGCTACCCTGACATGCCTGCTGTTTCGCCCCTTTTCAATTTCTTCAATCAAAAGTAGTTTGGTTTCAAATGAGAGGCATTTTCGTTTCTTTGATGCCATAATGAAGAAATGCTGGAAAGTTCCTGGAAATACACTGAACTTTACCAAGCACACATTGTGCTGCTGTGTAGATCCTATCATATGGCAATGTCTGATTCCACAGATCAGCGCGCAACTCATTATGTACGTCAATGTCAAAACTAGCTTATCATCGTAATTTTTTTATCAGGCAGCAGAGGGAAAGAAATTACAGAAGTGTTTGTATCTCTACTGGCATTCCATGCCTGGACAGCTTGTTCCCCCTCCCTCAAGACATGTATACACACGTCACACATCATTTGGCCGCCTGTCCAACCCTGACACACTCTAAGACACATGTGCCTGCCAACAACACCTGCATTGGTATGAAAGAAGGCAGCCGATTGTTTGTATAAGATATAAACAGTAGGCTGAGCGAGTAATGGTTCACGATGCAGGTGCCATAGAGGGTTTCCAGGTCTAGACAGGGTTCCTTGCAGGAGGAAAATCTTATAAACAGCAAACTGAATTATAGTCTTTAAAATATCTTTAAGGTGGGAGGGTAAATTGAAAATCTAACAACTACATCTGTATTGGACCCCTTTTTAACTAATTATAACAGAGGGTTGACTACAGTTTATGCCTTTGAACTGATATCCTTATCTGTTGCACTTAATATATATATCTTTACATTTGTAAGCACTAAAGAGCTGGTCATGAAGCAGAATGTCAGAATGAGAGATACAGACTGCCCTGCATCTGTTCAAACCTGGAACCTTCACTAAAAGGCCCGTGTTCCATCTGCTATAAAGAAAAGAACTATCACATCTCCTTCATCACAATTCTTTACCTTTGAAAGATAGTGTCAGGCATTTGATCTTGATCTGTGACAACCAATGATGGTGTTAGCTTATTTTATAAGACCGTGGCCTGTATCATGAGACAACATAAGGCCCTAAAACCAAGAAAAAAAACTATAATATCATGAGCACCTACCACACTACGCAGTTTGTTTTCTTTGAGAAGTTTCAGAGAGTTCTTGTAACAGCTCCGAAGAACATCAGGCTTCTCTCCTCGGGGGCCGACAGTGTGAAGTACATCTGCAACAGAATGAAGGTGCTATGTCCTAACCTTGTAAATGCCAGAACAACCACTGCCGAAATCAATCTGCAGCTTCTCAATGAAAAAACTCTGGAGTCAAAATGCACAATACATACTATAAAGAAGTACTGTGGGCTACTTTTTGTGTCAACTCCCATCATTTAAATCAGATGGGGGATTTTTTGCCTATTGAAAAATGTTCATGACAGTACATACACGATTACAGCATAACACCATTTATAAGTTGAACTATTAGGTATTGGCCATCCCAATACTCAAGAAAGCAATTTGAAGACAAATTACATCTGCCTGAGCCAAGTCCTATATTTTTTTTTCATTTTAGAAAAGATTTCCACTTGGGTTTTGAGAAAGAAAAGTGTTGTCCTGATACAACAATTGCGGCTTACAGAATTCCAGTATGAATTGGTAACAGCTGCACCTTGCCAAGAACGTATATTGTGACAATATCAACACTGAAAAGGATCTAAAAGAGTAGATGAAACAGATCAAATCATAGCACAAATCATCCACAAACACTAGTTGCAGTATAACTTGTAACAGATCACAAAATAAAATTTAAAAATCATCACACATTTTAACATCCCATTTCACAAAGCACAACAACTACACAAACTGACATCAAAGACATAACGGCTTACATTTCGCAGGCAGCTTGTAGCCTAATGATATCTTGGCATTCCCAGCACTGCAACCGTTAAGCAGCTCACACTCAGAACGCAGCAGAGGCCCAGCAGCCGCATGAATGGCACCATCCACTGCAGACAAATAGAGACAGTGACATTTCAGATCACAAGATCACGCACTCTTTAGTTTGGTTTAGTATGAGTTTTACTGCACTTGCAACACAATAAGGTAATATAAGCGCCAAAGATTAGAAGTGTTACAAGAGGTAACAAACACAAAAAAAGGAGGAGAGATAAGGACAATAAATGTTTGATAGAAAAGAAGGAGCAAACCACAACAGCTCGATCATGAACTCTGTATCAAAGCATATGTATATGTGAGGCAGCGCGATGAAATCAGGCGCTCGTCAAAATACAGAAATCGAACATACAAGCATTTTTCAGCCTGCTTGGAAATTTTTTTTCAAATTTTTATTTTTTGGCCCACTCTTTTTTGTCCATATAAAAACATCTTTCTATGTGAATTTCACTCAGAAACATTGATTAAAGGCACAAAAAATATAAATTTTTAGTTTCCAAGGCCTTTGACTGCTATTTTCTCGCTAATTTTACCTCTGAAACAAGATAACCCTCACCTCCTTCAATCGCAAATATCTTTACTTAAATTCAACATAGATGGATATTTTTTTCACCAAAAGCGAGGCAAGTGAACATGCTATAAGATGATACAAATAACCACATAAGCCAAAAAAATTGACGAGTGCCTGATTCCACCACGTTGTGCCACATATCATCTAAGTCACAACAGCAAAGTCCCACCAGCTGCATATTCAACACCATCCACTGGGGACTATGAGGTAGTGACATTTCAGATCATGGGACAGTGGACACAGCTTCTTTGTGGGGAACTGGAAACAACAATAATAGTCATTGCAATTGTATATATATATCACTTGGTTTGAGCCTCAGCTCGGTTTGACGCTGTGTTCTTGGGAAAGGCACTTTACACCAATTTCCCATTGGCTCGGTCCTTTCGGAGATGGACATTAAACTCGGAGGTCCCGCCTCTTAAATAACCTAATAGTGTTGATAGGGGTGTTAAACCTATACCATTTCACCATTTTTTTCACTGGGTAACCATTCCCAACTGGGTGTAGTGAGGAAAATTTGTAAAGTGCCTTTCCCAAGGACACAACATCTGACCTCCCTAAACCTAAAGTCTGCAAGTCTGATGAGCTAACCACAAGGCCACCAACGCCATGACGAATAAGTTTTCAATATGTAGTCATATAGCCATCAAATTTGATAGTTCTGATTATGTGGCCATTAAGCTTGACAACCTTGATGAATATATGACCCCATGGCCTTCAAGCTAGTGTGCACCAACAAGAGTGTGTGTGTGTGTGTGTGTGTGTGTGTGTGTGTGTGTGTGTGTGTGTGTGTGTGTGTGTGTGTGTGTGAGTGTATGTGTGTGCGTGTGTCTGTGAGCGCGTGTGTGTGAGTGTGAGTATGTGTGTGTGCGCGCGCGCGCGTGTGTGTGTGTGTGCTTGCGCATGTGTTTGTGCATGTGTGTATCATTTCTTCCTTCATATGAGTAAATATTACGTTTTTCATAGTCATTGTTTTGTACTCGGATTTATGTAAAGTGCCAAGAACTGTGAATACATAGGAGTAAGTGCTATAAAAATTATCAACATTATTATTACTATTACTATTTTAATTCTTCTTATTATTATTAACACTTACAGTACCGTCGGCGACTTGTTCGTAGTATGCGCTCATTTCTACTGGCGATTTTTAGTCTCCGACTCCACCAAGCACACCAAATATAATTAAATAACGAATGGACCCACTTCACTGAAGAAAATACTAAAGGAAGTCACTCTATATTATGACAGCTGAATGTCTGATGAACCTCCATGAATTTTTAACAAGTGCTTCTCGGGCTGCCAAGGCTTTTTTTAAATTAAAAAAAAATTCTACCACGGCTTCACTGTTCTAAACTGGTGCGGTACTAGAGGGTTTTTCACAATATGAGCCTTCGGTACTGTAAGTGTTAAGCTTTGCACGCACAGAAGGATCATGCAAAATGTCAAAATCAATATAAAATAAAAGGGATATTAATTGGTGCTCACCTAATTTCAGAATTATTAAGAAAAGTAAAACACATCATTTGTTCTTATTCTCTGTCCTGTGCACTGTGTATATCTACTGCTCAGCCTAAAACTCCATCATATGTGTGGCGATGTGGTGGAATCAGGCGCTCGTCAATTTTTGGGCATTTGGGGTTATTGGTATCATCTTAAAACCTGTTCATTTGCCTTGCTTTTGGTAAAAAAAAATATCCATCTATATTGAATAGAAGTCGAAATATTTGCGATTGAAGGAGGTTAGGGTCGCCTGGATTCAGGTGAAATTAGCGAGAAAATGGCAGCTAAAATTGGTAATTTCCATAGCTTGAGAGTCCTTGGAAACTGAAAATTGACATTTTTTGTGGCTTTAATCAATGTGTTTCAGTAAAATCCACACAGACATGTGTTTTAAATGGATATAAAAGGGGTTGAGCCATGCCCAACGGTCAGAAAAATTCCAATTTCTTTGGTTTCACTATTTTAATGAGCGCTTGATTTCACCACGATGCCTCACATGTTATATTTCAAAATGACTTCTAGCAGAGTCTTACACTAGGCAGTCAACATATCCCTTGTACTAATTATCCAATAACATATTCATCTGTGTCACAAGCAATCCCCATGACCTAGAAAACTCTTGTGTTAAAAGAGGCACAAAAAAATAATATGCACAGAAAGCAGTCTGTGAGAAGGAAAGTGAAAATAATTGCAAAGACGAAATTCTTACTTTTTGGAGATGGGGATAATGTATTCATGTGAAATCATTGTCAAGGCTCTATATTTCTCAAAAATATATTCATATAGTATAGTAACATTTGCTGAGGACCACATTATGAAATGTTAAGAACCAGAATTTTAACATTTTCAAAGTTACACCGAGCGTAGAAGTCGTTGGCAACATGCAGTATTGTTGAAAAAAATAACCAGTGGTACACTCCCTCTGATTACTTTCAATTAAAAAAACAAAAAAACATTGAGCCACCATGTCTTCTTATGGTTTCTTACCTCCACCTCCACCCAACAATGACTCATTAGCAGCATTTGCTATGGCATCAATTTCCAAAGATGTGATATCACCCGTGAAGATGGACATTTTTGTATTCAGTTCTTCAGAGACTTTTTTTGTCACTCTATGTTTATTCCCTGAGGAGCCAAAGAAAAACAGAACAAATATGACTTTTCATTACAAAAGTATGAGTCAAATGAATAGTGTAGGACAAGAAAGATAAACCGACCAATAAATTAACTTACAAATGAAAAGCCTCTAAAGTCTCAAAAGGATTATAGGACAGATGTCTTTTTTTTCTTGGGCACATTAACATTAACATCTGAGCAGATTAAGATTTGAAAACATTAAAAAATAAAAGAAGATTCTGAGAAAACAACAACTATGACAACAAGCAAAACAAGGACAAAGACACTTATCAATTTCTTATTTCTTACTCATGGGATGTAAGTAAAAAACGTTTATCACGTTCACAAACACTGCGGAATATAACATACTTTTCCACCAACATAAGCTCTGCTCGTCCTCTTTGAGATGTTCTTCAAAGTATTCAGGCCACACGGGAAGGTCTTCAAGCTTGATAAACTTTTCTTTACACTTGTACAACTTTCTCTTGTCCACCAACTTCATGGTCAGGAATTTTCCTGACAGCAAAGAGTTATACACACAGCTTTGGAAAACAGTTCAAAAATTATATTAAATAATAAATATGATATTAACTACAAAGATGTGTGATTTTATTGAGATACATATATATAATACGAAAAATAGAAGGAGATATCATGAGACAAAAAGCTAAGAGAAAAATATCAAAAATAGTGATAAGAGACAATAATGATATGCATGAGAAAACCTTTGCTGTAGTAGCTACAAAGATACCGTGCTACAGTACTAGTGCATCTCAATGTCTCATACAAAATCTCACTTCTGAGCCAATGGACACTCTTCTAAAACTTTTTTTATTCTTGGAAAAACAATTGCTTTCTTTGCATTCAAAGAAACCCTGTGATACAAGATCGTATGATCAATAATCCTTCATGGATCTTCTCAGTGTTGACATCATAGAGTAGAACAAAACAAGACCAGAAAAGAACAGTACTCAAAAAGGGTAAAGGCAACAGAATTTGTGTGTCGTCTTTGAAGACCTGGACTTTTCAGCAGTTCAATCAAGGCAAGAGCAATGACATTGTCAAACAGATGACTGACATTACATTACATTACCATCATTACAGTTTCACAGAGCAGATTGCATGGCAAGGCTAATCTATATATATATATAAGGTTAGCAGGACTGACAAGACTGCCCCATACACTTGGCCCAGATGAGGGATTTTTTTTACTAGGCCTCCAAGTGCCACAATGGATAAGAATGATAACGAAATCCACGAACGCAAGCACTATGAAATTTGGACATTTGACAGCCCTGAACAAACAAGTAAAAAAAACCAAACCAGGAAGTTTTAGTTTTAAAGCTTTTTTACATAGTGAATTCATTCACCACTCAGACCTTTCCAAACCAAACTACTGGAAGTATAGGAAGTTTCAACTTACTTTTCTGTTCCTCAACCTCTGCCTTACGTTCATCATCACGAAGTCTGCTTCGGGTGACGTATTTATCCATCCTTGTCAAGTTGCAAGTTTTGAGCACTTCTTTTTCACTTACGTAGAAAGATCTTGGAGCAAAACCTATATAAAAAAAAAAACGTGCTACTTTTTAAAGAGACAAGTTTAAGTAAGTTAAAATCAACCTCAGCTCTTCAATAAGTAGAGAGTATTGAACGACTTTTGAAAGTAAATTTCGACCCTCTTTCTTAAATATAGAGGAAAAGGTTTTCACACCAGGTGTCGCTTAGAATAAATTAATGGAAGTGAGAATTCCCACACGGGGTGGGAATATTTTTTGGGTTATTCCCACCCGGGTCGGGTCACTTCTCATCTTTCCTATATCTATCTAAATCTAGATTCTATATGTTTTCTAAATGTAATACAGGCTGAAAGCCGACCTCTAAACCTGCTGGGGTGAGAATTAGACACGAACACTGGCAGATCTAGTCTTAAGTAGATCTAGTTCGCCTGCTAAACAATTTTAAGCTGGGTCTGGAAATAGTGAGCACATTCAAACGAGAGTGCTAAAGTTAATGCTACGGGGGAAAACGCCACTTTTAGCTTTTGAATGCTATCTGTCACATCAAATCAATCCCATTGAAAGCTTAAAAAAGGCCAAAAATATGAATGAAAGTAAAACTAAATCATACACACAAGAACATACACACCTTAGTCAAAAAATGGAGTAAAATATCTTTAAATCCCCTCAGGGGGTTGGAATAAGAGAAAATCTTATTCTCATCCGGGGTGGGAATAATGGCTGCCTAAACTAATACTTCATTCCGTTTGATTTGGACATTGTAAGTGTCATGCCACAAGCACTTTTCAAAGTCATTTTTTGAAGTTTAAGCGAGAAAGGAAAATAAAAAGAGAGCGACTAAATCAGAACCATAACTTTTTAAAAAAAAATAGTAGAGGGTTTTGCGGCTTTCGAAAACCGCATAAGGTCATATGAGCGCCAAGGCGTGGGTGTCAACAGAGAAGTCTTTACAGGGAATCAGACTTACTCTGCTCACCTCTCTAACTTCAACAGCACAAGGTCAGCTTTGACTATCAAGGCACCCTGGACATAGCAGGTCACAAGAGAGTGACAAATATACAAAATAAGTAGAGGAAAATGACAATAGTAAGGATAAGAAAAGAAAAAGCAGCAGTTCCCTGTTGTAGATCAGGCACAGTATGAGCGTGACATGAATCAGCCCATTTACAATTCTACTGTGCTTGAACGAGAAATGTCCCCCCTTTGGGAATGGCCTAAAGACACTATACAGTTAGTGGCACTGCCCCGGGGGGCTAACCATGACAAATATCTTGGTCTTACAATCAACAACAAATTTACATGGCAAAATCATGTAGACATTATAATTATTATATCGTTAAAAAGGTAAATACGAGGCTGTACTTTTTTAGGAATCTTAGACCTTTCAATCTGAATCCATCCATCCTTCAGATATTCTACACCACCACACTAGAAACTTTGATAAATTTTGGTATCACTTGCTATGGTAACAATTTGGGAAGGCAGCACATCCTAATTTAAATAAATTTGATCAGAAAGGCATCAAGAACAATAGGTAGAGACCTAAGTAACTTTGAATATCTGCACAAGACAAACGTTCTCAAAAAGGCGGAATTAATGATTAGTGATAATAGCCACCCACTGAATTCGGAATTTCAACTATCGACCCACAGTAGACGATACATTTCCAAAAAAGCAAGAACAGATAGATATATATATATATATATATATATATATATAGATATATATAATAGAAATTCATTCTGTACCAACTGCAGTGAGGTAACTGTTCACACAGTGCTTCAATTGAAACCGAGAGAGAGAGAGAGAGAGAGATCTAGAGAGAGAGAGTGGAAGAGAGAGAGAGAATGTTTCAGGGAGCGGGTTGTCCTAGCACGTGAGACATCACTAATTATGTCTTGTCTTGTTGTGCATGGGCATGAGAGTGCACCTAACCTTCGTAACGCCTACTGCCATTGTTAACGACAAAGACAAATATAAGTCTCCCTGCAAGATGAATTATAACGATTGTCATTGTCATTGAGCACTCATAATTTTTCTATGAAAAATTAGCATGAAAATAACAAAACAGAAGGAAATTGCAAAGAAGATGACCCATGATGCCTTTATCTAAATACAGCGTTGTCTGGAACGCAGTGGCTACGTTCACGGCGCTGTGAACGTAGTCTGCAGGCTAGGTTCACGGCGCCATGAATGTAGTTGGCAGGCTACGTTCACGGCGCCCTGAATGCAGTTTGCAGGTGCTGTTGAGGCTACGTTCACTGCACTCAAGCTTTGTTTCGACGGAGCGTCCACTGCCGGTTTTAGTCAGTGACTACAGTGACATATATTTAATATTTTGGCCAGCTTCAAATGTTCCATCCCATGTGATGAAGGAAAACGAAAAAGTTTGGGAACCGACGCTGAGAGAAAATGACGGGAATAATTTTTATCAAAATAGCAAATTCTCTCTCTCTCTCTCTCGCTCTCTCTCTCTCGCTCTTTCTGTTTGTCTCTCCCCTTTCTCTTTCCTTCTCTCTTCCCCCCCCCTCTCTATTTTCTCTGTCTCTGTCTGTCTGTCTGTCCCCCCCCTTCTCTCTCCCTCTCTGCCCCCTCTCTTTCTTTCCCCCCACCCCCCCCAACCTTCTCTCTCCCCTTCTCTCTCCCCCCAACTTTCTCTCTCTCTGCCTCTCTCTGCCTCTCTCTTTCTCTCTCTCTCTCTCTCTCTCTCTCTGTGTGTGTGTGTGTGTGTGTGTGTGCGTGCGTGCGTGCGTGCGTGCGTGCGTGCGTGCGTGCGTGCGTGCGTGCGTGCGTGCGAGCATGCGTGCGTGCGTGCGTGCGTGCGTGTGTGCTTATTATGTCTTTGGCCCATAACGAGATATTCATTCTTTCATTCAAACTAATTGCAAGCGTATTTCATATCAATTATGCATTTTTATACAGTAAAGAGATAAGGAAAATTGATAATTTTTCTATGAAAAATTAGCATGAAAATAACAAAACAAAAGGAAATTGCAAAGAAGATGACCCATGATGCCTTCATCTAAATACAGCTTTGTCTGGAACGCAATGGCTACGTTCACTGCGCCGTGAACGTAGTCTGCAGGCTAGGTTTCTTCTTTTTTTTTTTCTTGCAACTACGAGACAAGAACTGAAAACGAAAGCTCTCAATATTATTGCCAGGTCTCCTTATCTGAGAAACTCATTATTGGTCAATGTTCCCTTTACTCAACTTAACTGTCTTATTTTGTTCTACACCAAAACTGTGCCTGTGTTTATATTTACAGACAGACAGACAGACAGACAGACAGACAGACAGACAGACAGACAGACAGACAGACAGACAGACAGACAGACAGACAGACAGACAGACAGACAGACAGACAGACAGCCTCATAATCGTCTCTTTTAATGACATTTGCTGATGCTGATGCTAGCGTCTAATCAACGAGATGAGAGTGCTGTTTCGGCACTACCCCAGTTTCAACAGTTATCGAGATGAGAGTGCTGTTTCGGCACTACCCCAGTTTCAACAGTTATCGAGCTCAGAAAATGCTTTTTGAACACCTTTTCAAAATATTTGTATGCCCTAGCCTCAATTTCTCAAGATTACCACAGCCTACTGCAATGGCGTCAACATTCTTCAGCACATCACGTGAGAGTGATAATAGTGAAGAGGAAACTTTAGATGAGGATGAACTTGCTCCTCACCCCATTGCCAAAACGAAAATTTCACCAATAAAGAAAGATAAAGAAGTAGGTGACAATGACGGATATGCGTTTTTTATTCTGCCTTTGAAAACCCACCATCAAATAAAGTGTCAGCAAAATTTACAAGGAAGTGCAAAAGCTATGGAGGCTGAAACAATATTCACAAAATCAGCGCAACACTGAGGTTTAGTATACAGCAGGATGCTGTGTGACGGAGATGCCATATCTCATCAGATGCTCAATTTTTATGGCATTTATGACTTTGAAATTGTAAAAGATGACTACACACATCGCATTAGCAAAAGTATGTTCAACGCCCTTCAGAGTTTCCACAACACCAACAACGAAGAGCTGAACAGAAAACTAATGAAGATTGAAAAACAGAGCAGTTACAAATGCCTCACAAAACCTGGACGTAACAGCTACTTGTGTTCATTAGTTTTAATTTTGTTTTTGTTCAGGAGCTGTTGGTTTCTTACCGAGCTCAAAACCTCTTTTGCACACAGACCCTGTAAGATTTTTGAACATCTGTCAGTGAGGAACAGAGGCCACGAAACTGCCATGGTTTTGGGTGGCCTGGGGTGGAATGAACAAAGCCGCTCTTGTGAGAATCACCGGACGCCTTGGTTTAGTGGACTCTATCGCGCAAGTGCTGGAACGTCATGTCTTACCCTTATTTTCGTCAAGGTGTTATTCAAGTAGTCATCCCCATGCGAAACACGGCATTTTCTCATAGGGCCAATGCCATTACAGAATTCTTCAAAAAGCAAATCAAGTCAACGTTCGAATAGTTAGCAGCAAACAGCCCCGATATGAATCCTACAGGTATGTGAATTCCCATGAAACAGCGGCTGAAGAAAAACGACTTTGCCCCCAATTCAGACCCTTTGTTTGCAACTCTCTGTGACATTTGAAATGAAATGACTGATCAATATATGTCCAAAACTAAATAGAATTGATGCCCAAAGGTTTCGTGCACAACACAAAGCCAATGGTTCCTACGCAAAATAACAATGAACAAAATAACAATTAGTGCTGAGTCAAAGTTTTGTGTGGTATCTGTGATTGCTCTGTTTTCCGTTATGTTTGAAACTATCGTGACAAAATATCGTAATAAAATATCGTCGGCCTAGTGATAAAACCGACTAACCCACAAAATTTCAAAAAAAAATTTATTGGCCCCATCGATAGTAAATTGTCCATTTCATATGCTCACTCAAAGACAGATCATAATTTTGTGTAGAAATGCCTTTAAAAAACATCAGAAATAAAACCGTATAACCCGGCACCCATCGGATTTTAGCCCGATAATTCCGACTATCCCACCTGTGAGGGAGGGAATGAGGGTTTG